AGGCTTAGACAGAAGGAAGTCAGAAGAGTTTTTTGTTCCTAGTCCTAAAGTGGTAGAAGGAAGAGAGGGGTTCCTCCCCACCTTCTTCCACTCAGCTGTATTGAATGGGCTCACTTATTGGTTATGTTTTCCCCTATGCTTCTCATTTGGTGAGGGAAAGACCTGGGATACATTGGTAGGCATCTCAAGTATCTGAAGTGGATGGAGGATTGCCAAATCACCTAGGGATGTTGGTTGCTAAAACCCCATGATTGACCCATGAACATTGAATTACAAGAGAATGTAATGGAAAGCAATAGAATACGACTTGGTTGCAGCTGTCATGAATCCCTTTTATGTCAATAACAGTGGTAGCCTGAACTTATTCACCATTATTTCAATAGAACCTCCTTCCAAGCAAATTCTCAGTCATGAAAACTAATTTTGCTAGATTGTGTCCAAACATGAACAAAGGAAACCCCTTCCAAGATCCTTGTTTAAACATCTCTAATACAGAGAGATGATATGGTTTAAAACTGTCAGACTATGACTATGACAGAAGGATTTTGGGTATAATAATAATAATTTTATTATTATTTATACCTTGCCCATCTGGCTGGGTTGCCCCACAAACAAACAAAGATGTGCTCTCCCAAGCCCACATTCCCAGCCTCTTTGCACTCCAGTCTCAGTGACGTCTATGCTGGCTTGGTCATGTCCACAGAATGTAAGATGGCAGGATCCCCAAGGACCTGCTCTACGAGAAGCTGGCTTCAGGCACCAGGCCCATTGGCCATCCAACTGTGTGCTACAAAGATGTCCGCAAACATGACCTGAAACCTGGCAACATTAACCCTTCTGTGTGGCAATCCCTTGCAGACAACCTCAGTGCCTGGAGACAGTCAGGTCATGTATCCACAGCAATGACCAGAGGAGGAATAACCACTGGAAGAAGCATGGAGAGAAGAAATGCCCAGGTGCATATGCAACAGCACAACCAGAATAACAACAACAACAACAACAACAGCAACTTATTACTTATCCCCCCCCCAACCTGGCTGGGTCTCCCCAGCCACTCTGGACGGCTTCCAACAGGAGATTAAAAATACATTAAAACATCAGTCAATAAACAACTTCCTTAAACAGGGCTGCCTTCAGATGTCTTCTATTCTGTAATAAAGAAGCTCTTTTTGCAACAGTTCAAACAAACGTGGTGGAAAGAACTGGAAATCCTGAACATTAGGCTGTTTTGGGGGTGTGTGGTGCTTTTGGTTCACTGACACGAAGAGCTTCCCTGAAATAAGCATCAACAGCATAGTTCTAGTTACAGGTAGGTAGCAGTGTTGGTCTGCCGTAGTTGAAACAAAATAAAAAAATTCCTTCCAGTAGCACCTTAGAGACTCTAAGGTGCTACTGGAAGGAATTTTTTAAAATTTTGTTTCATCAACAGCGTAGTTTGCTTTTCTGTCATGCTTATGTGGTTCAATCCACTCTGTGAATGCCATATTTTGCTTCTCTCTATAATCTTCTCCTTCAAAGTTATAGACACTTGACTCTGTATCCACTGTAAAATTTCTGAGTGAGCTTTCACCCATATTGGATAGTTTCTCATTCATTTCTGCAGTTTTCTTTGCACCTCTTTCCAAAATACCATCAATATCATAGAATCATAGAATCATAGAGTTGGAAGAGACCACAAGGGCCATCGAGTCCAACCCCCTGCCAAGCAGGAAACACCATCAGAGCACCATATCTTCACCTGTGATTTCACTCTTCCTCTGCCCCAGTTGCAACAAAACATATCTCGCCCACATCAAACACTACAGCCACAGCAGATGCTGCAACCTTCCCAAAGTTTAACCTCATCCCCAAAGGTCACCCCTCCATCATCTCCCAAGACAGACAGACAGACAGGTGTCGCCAAGAGCAACAACATGACTGAGGAGGACCCATTGCTAATCCTTCCATCAGCCAGGAAGCTCATTGGGCCATTCACTATCTTGACTATGCTACCACTCAGTGGATTTGTAACCCAAAGGGTGCTCATCAATGGTTCCTCTTCATCCTGGAGAAGAGTGACTAGTGGAGTGCCACAGGGTTCTGTCTTGGGCCCGGTCTTATTCAACATCTTTATCAACGACTTGGATGATGGACTCAAGGGCATCCTGATCAAATTTGCAGATGACACCAAACTGGAAGGGGTGGCTCACACCCCAGAGGACAGGATCACACTTCAAAACGACCTTCACAGATTAGAGAACTGGGCCAAAACAAACAAGATGAATTTTAACAGGGAGAAATGTAAAGTATTGCACTTGGGCAAAAAAAAAAAATGAGAGGCACAAATACAAGATGGGTGACACCTGGCTTGAGAGCAGTACATGTGAAAAGGATTTAGGAGTCTTGGTTGACCACAAACTTGACATGAGCCAACAGTGTGATGCAGCAGCTAAAAAAGCCAAGGCAATTCTGGGCTGCATCAATAGGAGTATAGCATCTAGATCAAGGGAAGTAATAGTGCCACTGTATTCTGCTCTGGTCAGACCTCACCTGGAGTACTGTGTCCAGTTCTGGGCACCACAGTTCAAACAGGACACTGACAAACTGGAACGTGTCCAGAGGAGGGCAACCAAAATGGTCAAAGGCCTGGAAACGATGCCTTATGAGGAACAGCTAAGGGAGCTGGGCATGTTTAGCCTTGAGAAAAGGAGATTAAGGGGTGATATGATAGCCATGTTCAAATATATAAAAGGATGTCACATAGAGGAGGGAGAAAGGTTGTTTTCTTCTGCTCCAGAGAAGCGGACACGGAGCAATGGATCCAAACTACAAGAAAGAAGATTCCACCTAAACATTAGGAAGAACTTCCTGACAGTAAGAGCTGTTCGACAGTGGAATTTGCTGCCAAGGAGTGTGGTGGAGTCTCCTTCTTTGGAGGTCTTTAAGCAGAGGCTTGACAACCATATATCAGGAGTGCTCTGATGGTGTTTCCTGCTTGGCAGGGGGTTGGACTCGATGGCCCTTGTGGTCTCTTCCAACTCTATGATTCTATGATTCTATGACTATCTGTCAGCCACCCTGTGTGTTACAGGGTTGTTGTGAGGACGACACAGAGGTCAAGAAAATCTTCTATCAGCCTGAGGCAAATGTGGTCTTCTTTTTTTCCATTTTTTTATTGATTTTCCAATTTTATATCAAACCAAAAAATACAACCAAACAAACATTTATCCTAACTATAATAATTCCTTTTTTAAAAAAACATTGTTAAATGACTTCCTCAAATCCCCCTAGCTGAGTTTCCATATAGTCCATTGCAGCAGTTTTCCAAATCTGTTTTCACATAAAATTTACTTGGTCAAATTACATCTTTCTTTCTTTTCATTTTAACTTTAACATAGTATAGATGTGGTCTTCCAGTTGTTTTGGACTCCAGCTTCCATCAGCCGCACCCTGTGCAGACCAACATCTGGAAGTCTACAGTTCCCCCTACATCTCACGCAGGAAGGAGGGAATGAACATGCAATAAATAATAGTAATCCAGGTCTGCCAAGTTTATAATTCTCCAGCCAAGAAAGGTTACTCATGCATTTGAATAGGCATATTCAATTCACATCTCTCTTTACTGCAGATTGAACAGAAATTTGCACTGTGTGGCTTGGAAGCCGTACTCTGCACAATTCCTCCAGAAAGAGAATGGGGGAGGAAAGGGGGAAAGAAAAGCCTAATGGGGACAAGCACATGGAGAACGTTTGTTTGCATCCAACCTGCCTTACAGCACGAGGAAAAGAAATTGTCCAAAACCATACAGGCAATTCTGTTGGCGTACTTGAAGCAAACATCCCCAGGAACACAGTGGATATGGCAAAGAGGTTTCAGGAGCTTCCAGCAGTGAGCACTGAGCATAATCAGACCCCAGAGGCTCTTGGTGGAAAGGGAAAAGTAATATCCGAGTAAGAAAGTATGGCTTCAGACAAAGATGCATTTCCCCTTATGGATCTTGGTGCCTGGAGAGCTGTGAATGAAGGCAGAGCCTAGCCACCTGGGGTGAAGCCTCCAGAGGGGCAGCACTGAGGCTCCCAGCCTCTGTGTGTGTGTGTGTGTGTGTGTGTGTGTGTGTATGTGTCAAACTGGGTCTTCAACTTGGGTGAAATAAAACCTAGTTTCGCCTCTGGGTGAAGGTGTGCCAGTTTCTCTTGTCTCCAAGACACCTGTTCCTCACCTGCAAGTGAGAGTGTAGACCATGGGCTGCTGGGGGAGGGGGAAAGCCAGACACCTCTGGAGCCAAGGGAAGGGACGGCATCTGTCTCTCACAGCTACAACACGAATGTGTGTGTTACCCCCACCTTACAGCTAATTGCCAGCCTGTGCCAAAGTGAACAAAGCAGTCACAGCAGGGAAATATCTCACCTCACCAGCAAACAATAACACCGTCTAGAAAGGTGTTTCCACAAACACACACACAAACAAACACACACACACACACCGCTTAGTAGCAGAGAATCTTGGCTTTTCCTGAAGAAGCAGCACAAGGAGAAAGTGTGAGATGCTCTGCAGGAACCGGGAAATGGTGGATGAGGGGGATGGACTAGATGATCCGTTGGTGTTAAGTGTTGGGTGAACATATCAGATGACACAGCGATTCTTCAAACAGCTCTTGTTTATTCACAGGCCAGAACAGAACTGAACTGAAGGGTTCAACCAGCCTGCTTATATAGAGCTCCAGTACAATACAACATTAACCACTTTCTGTAACTATCCAATCACTGAATTGAATTATTCAATCCCTTATTTGCATATGAGGACCTGAGTGAAAACTATGTACAGTATCCCCTGCTGGCCCAGGGTGAGAACTTCAGTACATAACACCCCTCCCCTCTGAGCTAAGACATTAGTTACAATCGTAATGGCTTCCTTATATTCAGCACTACATGTAATGGTTCAGTTAGGCACAAAAGCATATTGGTTACATTTCACATACTTCCATTAGACTGACAGTGTTACATGTCCAACAACATAGTTCTTTAAATAAGTTGGACGCTTGGAAACTCTGCCAGACAGTCGGGGACTGGTATCCAGGTCCGGGGGGGGGGGGCGCCTGATTCTTGTTGAGGCTGTGGTGCGACCCTAGGTGGTGTTGAAACCAAGTCCCCTGGATCTGCTGCTGTGGGTGGGACCTCCGTGAGTGGAGTTGGTAGAATGTCAGGCATGGCAGTGGTCTGAGTCTGTGGGAAGTCTGGCAGACACTCTGAAGCAGCTTGGTTCAGCTCCACACCTGCAGTTTGTGAGAGAGGGGCAGGTGGAGCCCCGCCATCTGTAAGTGTCTGTTTCGGAGCCACGAGCACAGTTGCGGGCACCGCGGTAGAGTCCAAGTGCCCAACCCTGTGCCTAAGCTGGTCTATGTGCAGGCACCACAAACGTCCAATTTTGAGTGCCACCTGGTACGAGCGAGGTCCAGTGACTCCCACTACTGTGGCTGGCACCCAAGGAACATCCCCCACAAAGTTCCGGGCAAAGACCTGGTTTCCTGGAACAAATGACCGTGGCACATTGGCACAGCCTGGGGGTTCAGCCACGGCAAAGTCCGGGTGCAGCCGGTTGAGCGGGGACCTGAGGCGGCAGCCCATAAGCAGTTTGGCAGGACTCCGCCCTATGGCAGCATGAGGGTTGATGTGTTGCACGAACAAGTATTTGGCGACCCACTCGTGCCTGTCTCCCCGGTCCAGGCATGCCAGTGCCTCTTTTGCCGAGCGCACCATTCTCTCCGCTTGCCCTTTGCTGCATGGATAAAATGGTGCCGTTAGGGCATGGCGGATACCCAGTGCCAAAAGGTACCGCTCAAAAGTGCCTGACGTGAACTGCGGTCCGTTATTGGAGACGAGGACATCAGGACACCCATGCGTTGAAAAGAGGCCTCGCAGCACCCGGATGTTGGCCTCGGTAGTGGGGGAGGGCATCAGGGCCACCTCCAGCCATTTGGAATAGGCGTCTACCACTACCATAAAGGTCCGGCCATGAAAGGGGCCGGCAAGATCAATGTGCACCCTTGACCAGGGTGTCTTGGGCATCTCCCAGGTGTGTCCCTTAGCTGCCGGTGGCGCAGGCCTCGATTCTTGGCATGCTTGACAGGCGGAAACCCAGGAAGTGATGGCATCATCCATGTTAGGCCACCAGACGTAACACGGAGCCAACCCTTCATTTTGATGATTCCCGGGTGGCCAATGTGCAGAACCTCAAGGATGCATTGACAGAGTCTTTGGGGAATCACGATGCGGTCTCCCCACAGCAGACAGCCGCGATGTGCCAAGAGTTTGTGTTGTGTGGTTGCGAACAGCTGGAACCAAGGAATGAAGCAAGAGCCGGGACTTCCACAAACACTGGAAGAGTGCAACGGCTGAGGGCGTCAGCACGGCCCATCAATTTCCCCGGGTGATGGACGAGCTGGTAGTGGTAGGCAGCCAGGAAAACAGTCCATTGCAGCATGCACGGCGAGTTGATCAGTGGAGTTGGTCGATCACCGGCGAGAAGGCTTGTGGTCGGTGATGAGTTTGAAAGTCCTGCCATAGAGGTATTCATGGAACCTCTTCACTCCAGCCACAAGTGCCAGTGCCTCCTTGTCGAGCTGACTGTAATTCTGTTCGGTCGGAGATAGCGTCCTGGAAAAGTAGGCAAGTGGTGCTTCTCTTCCATCTGGAAAACGGTGACTGAGGACAGCGCCGATGCCAAAAGGTGAGGTGTCACAGGCAAGGACCAGCGGCCTGGCTTCACTGCACTTTACCAGCATACTGTCCAATGAAAGGAGAGCCTTGACCGCGTTGAAGGCCGCCATCTCCCAATGACCCCAGGACCAAGGTATCTTCGTGCTGAGGAGTCGGTGAAGAGGCTCGGCTACCGTCGCTTTGTGGGGCAGGAACATGTTATAAAAGTTCAGCAGTCCTAGAATGCCTGCAACTCTGTCTTGTTCTTTGGAATGGGGGCCTGCTGGATAGCGCAGATCTTGGATGTCGTCGGGTGAAGGCCAGAGGCGTCGATAAGATAGTCCAGGAACTCCACCTGTGGAACGGCGATCTGGCACTTCTCCCTCTTTACTTTGAGCCCAGCCTCCTGGAACCTGGTCAGCACGGCGCAGAGGCACTCGAACAGCTGCAGGTGTGAATCTGTGGACACCAAGATGTCGTCAAAATACAGCACCATGCCCGGAAGCCCTTGCAGGAGATGCTCTATAAGGCTTTGGAAGATGCCAGGAGCCACACTCACCCCGAACTGCAAACGGTGGCAACAGAATGCCCCTCGGTGGGTGGTGATCGTCTGGGCTTCAGCGGTGGCATCGTCAACAGGCAGTTGTTGATAGGCTTGGGCAAGGTTCAGCTTAGCGAAGACCTTACCCTCACCCAGGGAATGCAGCAGGTGTTGGACAACAGGAACCGGGTAAGCGTGCTGCTGAAGTGCCTTGTTGATCGTGCACTTGTAGTCGGTGCAGATTCTCACCGACCCGTCCGGCTTGACAGGTGTGACAATGGGCGTTTCCCATTTCCCACAGCATGGTCAACCAGCTCCAAAACTCCTTGGGCTTGTCCAGTTGTTCGTCCACCTTAGCTTTGAGAGCAAACGGAACCTGGCATGGCTTTAGCTTGATGGGGGTGACTTGTGGATCAAGGCTAAAGGAGATGGGCATACCTGTATATTGACCCAAAGTGCAGTGCAGTGGCAATTGGTGAGAGTAAACAGCTTTCCTTGGCAGACTGAAGACTTGGACTTGCAAGTCGGTGAAGAGGGGGTGTTGGACGGAGCCGATCGGCAGACCTTAGCGATGTGGCCCCTTCTGGAACATTTCTGACAGATGGCGTCTCTGAATCGACACTTGGCACAGGAATGGTTGCCTCCACAGCCAGCACATTCCAATCGGCCCTTGGACTTCCTGCGCTCCCGCTTTGTCTGGTGCACGTCATCATTTTCACTGGAGCATGCCTCATCACTGCTGGCCTCTTCGTGGTGCACTGGAACTGGCTTCCTAGCAAGACGCGGGCTTGCTTCAGCAGCTTCCAAGGCCACGGCCTCCTCAATGGCTTTCCGCAGCGTGAGGTCTGGCTTGGCAAGGAGACACCATTGCAGACGGATGTCCCGGACCCCGCAGACGATTTGATCCATCAGGGCATCGTCTAAGTCTCGGAACTCGCAGTGCATTGCAGCCTGTCGGAGGGCGGCGGTGTAGTTGTTAATTGACTCCCCCTCTGCCTGGTTCTGGTGGTAGAACGCATGGCGGGCAGCAATCTTGGATGGCTTTGGCGCGTAGTGGTTGTGGAGCTTCTCTTGAATCGTGTCCCACGGCGCTGCCTGGACTGCTAGAGGTGCAACCAATGCTCGGGCCGTCTTGAACACCTCAGGCCCACAGAGGCTGAGGAATAGGCCCCGCTTATGCTCCTGTGATACTTCTGTCAGCTCGTTGGCTTGGAGGTAGCAGTCGAACCGAGCGAGGTAGGAGTCCCATGATTCAGAGGCTGGGGCAAACGGTGTGGGAATGTTCAGGGATGCAGGAGAGGATATATTGTCTGATTATATCCTTATCCAACTTGTGTTAACAAGTTCCCAATATCAGCAGAGTAAAACATTCCCCTTTATTTTAAGTTTGCAACGGCAGCGTTTGCTCAGGCTCGCTAAAGCCTCTATAATAACTATACTGGTAATTTCCCCTTATTCCCTCATAAAATAAAGTAGACAACACAGTCTCTTACAAAAGTATAAAAAGAGTTTACTCACATTCTGTTCACAATCAGATACCAGAAGGCAGACTTAGACTTAGTGAAATAACATACACTTGGAATCTATCTCTCAAGAAGACAGTCCCTTTGTCCTCTCTTGGCTGGGAGCCAAGAGGGCATCTTCACTCAGTAGATGTTGCTTCTTCGATGCATGTGGTCTAAGAGAGATGGAAGAGATGGAAGAGAGAGATGGCTGCCCTGCCCTGTGCTTTTATCATTACCTGCACAGGTGAGGCCACACCCACCTCTAGTCACATGTAGAGGAAGTCTGTCCCAGCACAGAGGGAAACAGGAAGTTTACCTGGTGGCTGGACAAACATCCCTCTGCATGTCTAAACATGTTCACTCTAGGAATGTTGTACGTGACTGCTCTTGTGTTTCACATCCCACAAACGGCGGTAGAGGCACAAGTGAAGCCATGGTTCCGATCCCGGCGTGGAGGGTGATGGATGGAACGGTCAGCTCTGAATTGGTTCTGTTCAGTGATTTCGCTCGGTGTTTCAGCTGAGTGATTCAGCTCAGTTCAGAGGGTGGCCACATCTGGCTGTGCTCTGATGTCCATCAATCGCATCCTCGTCACCAGTGTTAAGTTGTGGGTGAACATATCAGACGACACAGCAATTCTTCAAACAGCTCTTGTTTATTCACAGGCCAGAACAGAACTGAACTGAAGGGTTCAGCCAGCCTGCTTATATAGAGCTCCACTACAACGCAACAGTAACCACTTTCTGTAACTATCCAATCACTGAACATCACTTTCAATCCCTTATTTGCATATGTGGACCCGAGTGAAAACTATGTACAGTATCCCCCTGCGGGCCCAGAGTGAGAACCTCAGTACATAACAGTTGGGTCCCTTCCAACTCTACAATTCTACATTTGGAGTAATTTTAGGTTCCATGTAAGGTGAAGAAATGCTTTTTGAGAGTCTAATTCCTAGTAGAAAGTGTCCTTCCATTGCAATCCTAATATTTTCCTAAGGTTCTGTTACCTATCTAGGGTGATTGGTAAATTAGTAGTTATTTTTTAGACATTGGTTGGAGGGTTTCTGCATGTATATACTTTATATACTGTATATACTTTATATACTGTATATACATGTATATACTGCATGTATAGACTTTAACAGTTGTTACATGTTCGTTCTGGGTCCTCCTTACAAGGGGAGGGAATTCTGTTGCAACAGAAAATAAAGACCTCCCTTGCTTTCCAATCCCAGTTCTCTGCATCTAATTTCCTTATTCTCTCTGCCACCCCAACTCCACCCTGGGAGAAGCAGCACACTTACAGATCAGAGCAGCCACATGGGGGGGGGGATAGCTGCCCCAGCCAAGGAGCCCTGGAGGGACGGAGAGAGCCAGCCGCCTGCAGCCAAGTAGCACAGAGTCACAGGAGGGAGTCAGAAAAGCCCCAAGTGAAAGTGCTTTAGAGTGATGGAGGGGGGACAGGCAGCCCAGGCTCATTGCAGATTGCCTGGGAGGCTAAGAGCTTCAGTGGCACCCTCTGGAGGCTTCTCCCTGGGGCAAAATTCCCAGCTAACCCCTCTTCATTTTGCCATCGTTTATTCCAGGTCTGTGGCCAGCTTTGACTTCTGAGCTTCACCTTCTCAGCTCTTGGTGTCCAGCTCCTGATCTTCGACAGCTGCCCAAATACTACCAGCTAGAAAGGGCAGCTACTGAGAGACAGGAGAGATCAATGTGTCTCTACAATGCAGAAGTGGATAAAATAACTATTTGGAAATCTCCAATAAGATGGCTAGATTAAGCCTGTAGTCTTCAGCCTTTTCAGACCTAGGGCCCACCTTTAACCCCAAAATATAACATGAGACTAACTTTTATTACTTTTTGTTTCTCTCCCCCCCCTCCATCTCTTACAAAACATCCAACAGGTGTTGCCCACTGTATGATTGTCACTTGATTCAGGACAAAGGAAAGCAGTCATTTACATAGCACATAGTTAAACTATGGAACTTGTCCCCCACAAGATGCCGAGGGCCATCAACTCAGATGGCTTTAAAAGAAGATTAGACAGGATAAGGCTATCAATACCCACTAGACAAGGTGGCTATGTTCTACTTGCACTGTCTGTCACAGGCAGTCAGTGGCGGAGGAATGGGATGGGGGGGCGTGCTGCTCCAGGTGCCATCTTTGAGGGGAATGACAAGGCACCCCGCGGGGCTTGCCCCATTGCCATTGCACCACCATGTGCGGAGGATGCTTGCTGCTGCTGCAGCTGTGAGTGGCACAGTCAGCAAACCGCCCGGTGGCACGTGCGCCGTACGTAGCAGCGTCGTCATGTGCTGTACGTAGCAGCGCTGCGCATGTGCCGCCAGACGGTTTGCCCCACCCCCAACACCCCGCCCCAGGTGCCAGTTAGCCTTCCTTCGCCCCTGCAGGCAGTATGCCTCCAAATGCCAGTTTCTGGGAATCTCAGGTGGAAACAGTGTTACTGCACTTGGGTTCTGCTTGTGGGATTCCTACAAGCATCTGGTTGGCCATTTTGAGAACAGGATGCTGAACTAGATGGGATTGATGCAACAATCTCTTCTTACATTCTTACATCACAACCCACTCGATAGAATCATAGAATTGTAGAGTTGGAATGGACCCCAAAGATCATCTTTGTAAAGATCAGGGTTGGCTCACATTGGACTACAACTCCCATCTGCCCCAGCCAGAATGACCAGCCAGAATGAATGGTAGAAGTTATAGTCTACCAACATCTGGAGGGCCATGAGTTCCTCACCCTTGATGTATGGAAATTTCAGAAAATAAAGAGCCTGAATTTTATTAATGGCTGGAAGGGGGGAGCAACAGAAAATGGCTGAATGTAATGCAGGGTAGTTTCATCTTATTTCATTATCTTCCTTGCTTTATCAGGAGCTTCTTAATATAGTTCACAATTAAAATGTTATTTTACAAACACAAGTTCCAGTTTATTATTTTAAAAAACCACCAGCGGCAACAACAGGATTCTAAACCATTATGGAATACAGGCAATAGATAACGCACGCACGTAGAACCCAGCTTCAATGACCGACTACATCAGGAAACCATTTACTGCACATTAAAGAAATAAGACCACCTTATAATAACATTGCAATGTCATAATAGGACACCCCCAAATGCCTTCTTAAAGATGCAATTATCCTCCCTCCCTTCCATGGCAGCTTTTTACTGGTGTGTGAGTAAAGACTACTGGAAACAGCCAAAAAATTGGCACATGGGAGGCTTCAAAAGGTTTCTGCACAAGTTTCTCAACCCACAGATGTTACAACACTGATCATCCTTAAAATCAGCCATAATGCTGCTTTGCACTAATGGAACTTGGAGTCCAGCAACAACTGGAACATCAACCCCCCTCCCCCCAGCTTAGATCAGTGCCAGTGAGCCTTTTTTCAGCCTGAAGACTGAAATCCTTCATAGACAAGTTTCAGGGGACCACATGACAGTAGTGGGACGGGTCAGAAGCAACAGATCTGGCTACATTCCCTCTGGTCCTCTCATGGAGAAGGCACACAAAGAAGGGCATCACATGATGATCTCAGGGTCCAGGTCAGTTCATATGGGCAGAGGTGATCCTTGAGATATTTCAGTCCTGAGCCATTTAAGGCTTTATGGGTCAAAACCAGCGCTTTGAACTGGGCCTAGAAACTAATTGGCAACCAGTACAGTCAGGTCAGGATTGGTGTAATATGCTCAAATTGTCATGCCTTGCATGGCAGCTGAATTCTGCATCAGCTGAAGTTTCTGAACAGTCTTCAGAACATGTTGCAGCAATCTAACCTAGGGGTTACCAGAGCATAGGCAACTGAAGTTAGACTACCCCTGACCAGATAGGGGCACAGCTAGGCCACCAGGCAAAGCTGATAGAAGGCACCTGAGCCTCAAGTGACAGCAAAGGATCCAGAAGGACCCCTGAGCTATATACAGGCTCCTTCAGAGAAAGTGTAACCCCATCAAGAGCAGGCAACCACCCAGCCATCCAGTCTAGAGAACCTCTTCCTAACAGTGCTTCTGTCTTATGGGGAATGAGCTTCACTTTGTTGGCTCTCATCCAGTCCATGACGGAGGCAAGACACTAGTCCAGCATTTCCACTGCCTCACCTGGGGATGTAAAGGAGAAGTTAAGCTGCGTGTCATCAGAATATTGCTGACAACAAGTAGATGTTAAACAGCATAGGGAATCCAAATGAACCCCGCGGAACCCCATGCTGAAGGCTCCACAAGGCTGATGGGCAATCCTCAAGAATCACCCTCTTGAAACATCCATCTAAGTAGGACGAGAGCCACTGCAAAGTGGTGTCCCCTACCCCAACTCAGTCATATGCACTTTTGAACAGATGCAGCTTTCTGATGTAGCTGATAACAAAAATGGTTTGAAGGAGTGTAGTTCAGTGATAGAACACCTGCTTGGCATGCAAAAGGTCCTGGGTTCAGTCCCTAGCATCTATGAAGCTGGGGAGTCCCCTGTCTGAATCCCTGAAAAAAACCATTGGTACTCAGTGCAAGCAAGACTGAGCTTGATGGCTCAGTATAAGGCAACTTTCTATGTACCTTTCTAGATGAGCCATAGCTCGTGGTATGTAGATCATCCACCTTGCATGCAGAAAGACTCCTATTCAGTCCCTGACATCTCCCCAGCTAGAGCTGGGAATGCCTGGAACTCTGAAGAGTCACTGCCAGTCAGAGTAGATGACAGTGAGCTGGATGTACTAATGGACTGACTCGGTATATAAGGCAGTGTTTTATGTTTCCATTTTTCCAATGTTCTTGCAGCACTTCTCTTACTCTCTCGCTCACTTTCAAGCCCCACAGTAACAGAGAAACAATCCTCAGCTGAAATTATATGCAAATTGAGCCTGCCTTGTTATTTATTTCAACACACCTCCCACAGTGTCTCTTTGTGCAATGTCAAGCAACACATTGTCGATATGCTGGAATGGCTTTCTTTCCCTTTTGCTTCCTTTAAATTAAAACCTAATTACGAAGAGATGCTAGGATTGGGGGCAGGGGGAGGGAGACGGAAGAGTTCCCGCAGCTCAAATCCTCGCTCAACATTATTAGTCCTTTTACTGGCCATCACCAGCTAATTAAAGCTTGTCAGTTCCATGTACCCAGGCAGAGAAGTCCAGGCATAGAAACCTTTTACAGGCTTTTATGGCTGCAAGAAAACAAGTGTTTGCCTACCCAGCAAAGAACAGAGGGGCATATTTCATGGACTTGGCAATCCTTAAGAAAGAGTCAGTCATCAAAGACTGGGGTGAAGTCAAACAGGAAAGGGCCAACCTCCAGATACATTCCCAGAAGTTCGGCCCTTGGTGGGCTATTATAATTGACTTGGCAAGTCTCTTGCCCTGACAGTTTCTACCTCAAAATCAGAAATGCAACCAAGGAAGGAGAAATAAATCAAGTTTGGTTCACATTTTAATGCAAACCTGTGTAAATCACACTTTCTGAAACAATATGCATAATGCAACACAAGTAGCCTTCAAAGTCACAGTTCTCTGAATTTTGCAATGCAGTTCTCCAACAGAACAGTATATACAGAATATGTACACTATCTCCTTTTTCCCCAGTCAGCAAACTCTGGTCATGAAGTCTAACAAAGCTACAAACCAGAAAAACACATTAAGTGTAAGTGAAACCTTTAATTATTTACATCCAAGGGAAATTGGGGGGGGGGGGAGATCAGATATTATGGACTGGCAGACCAGGATGGTTGGATAAATGTTAAACTATTTAGCACTCAATTTCTCCCCCCCCCCCCCCAGTTCACTTGACACAATCATAGACACTAGCAGAGGAAGAGGAGTGCAGGGGGAGTGGACCGCCCCCGGCAGCATGATCCCGGTGGGGTGCTGTCATGGCTGCCCCCCCACGCTTGGCACCATGCCCCCGCAGGCAGCGCGCCACCCCCACCCCCGCCTGCTCTCCACCCCCCGGTGCTGGAGCATGAAGCTCCGCCACTGATCATAGACTCATAGAATTCATAGAACGATAGAGTTTGTTCCAAGGGTCATCTAGTCCACCCCCTGCAATGCAGGAATCGCAGCTAAAGAATCCCTGACATATTGTCACTCAGCTCCTGTCTGAAAACCTCCAACAAAGGAGAGTCCATCCCCTTCCAAGGAATCTCCCTACAACAAAGTACAGGGCAACTCCTGCTGGCCCCCATCCAAAAATGCTATGGCCAGCCTATATAAGCAAAGCTCAAGCACTAAAACAAGGGGGCCACCTTCTTCTTCTTTTTGAGCCTAAGGGCTGCATTCCCTTCTGAGGGTCACATGCCAGTGGGGACAAGGCAAGAGTCAAAAGTGAGGGGAGCAAAACATGTATTTTTATTTATTTGTGATTAAATTGATTAGTTACTTATCACCCAAAGGATTGCCAAGTAACTTACACCGCAAAAATATATATGCATAAATACCTTAAACCACAGGAGGGTTTAATGTCTTGCTCCATCCCCCTCCTTGTATTTCATATATGTGAGGACTTCTGCTGGAGCAAGTCATCAGTGCAGAGCTCTCCAAGATCCTGCTGATCCAGGTAGACCCTTCCAGTATAACTGATTTCCCCCACATACCTTGTGATTGCTCCATGGGCTCTCACTTGTAGGGAGAGTGTAATGCCTGACAAAGATGTCTCAGACCCCCCTGAACTGCACTCTTGTTTCAATAGTCACTTCACTCCTTCCTGCCTCTTAAAGTAACAGGCGCCCATCAACCCCAATGCCCCGTGATTCTGTATGCATCTTCATCTGTCAGCAAATTCCCTCCAGTAACTTATATTGGCCAGGGAACTGTCCCTAGAGATAAGGCTTGATGGACGCAAATTGGACATTAGATATGAAAGCATATTAAGAGAGAGAGAGAGAGAGAGAGAGAGAGAGAGAGAGATGGAGAACCCAACCCAGCCGCAGACCATATTAATCTTCTCAGATATTCCACCTTTAGCATTATAACCATTGTACTTAAACAGGAAATAATGGAAATGACAATTGGAACAGGAGAATACTGCTGTGTCCTTGGCCAGAAGCCCACAGGACAGTGAGGCAAATCAGCAGGTTTTGGAGGATAAGGCTGTCAACAACTTGTAGCCATGCTATAATTTTACTATTACAGTGGTACCTCAGGTTAAGTACTTAATTCGTTCCGGAGGTCCGTACTTAACCTGAAACTGTTCTTAACCTGAAACACTACTTTAGCTAATGGGGCCTCCTGCTGCTGCCGCGCTGCTGGAGCACGATTTCTGTTCTCATCCTGAAGCAAAATTCTTAACCTGAAGCACTATTTCTGGGTTAGCAGAGTCTGTAACCTGAAGTGTATGTAACCCGAAGTACCACTCTATTATTATTATTATTATTATTATTATTATTATTATTACATACCCAGTTATCAAGAATGCAGTTCCCTGGCCACCATTGCCAGAAACACTCCATCCCCACATACCATCACTGCTGTTTCATCAGTTTATATCCTACATAAGGGCTACACATTGCTGAGAAGAGACCTACTGGATCAGAACAAAGGCCCACCTGGCCAATGTTCTTGTTTGTATGGTGGCCAGCCCGATGCCTATGGGAAGGCTGCAAACAGGGTAAACAATGCTTCATCCGCATGCCACGTATGGCTCTCCAGAAGTAGGTGGCCTCAGCTCCCATCATGCCTGACCATTGGCTTTGTTGGCTGGGGCCTGTGGGAGCTGGAGTCTAACAACATCTGGAAGGCTGCAGATTCCCCATCGCTCCATTTCTGAATCCAAGCCTACAATGGTTCCTCCCAAGCCTCTTTACAACCCTCCTTTACCACTCTGAGCACAGCTTTCCCCCTGGATCACTTCCACAGGCATAAAGGAACTGTATCAAAGCTGAATTGTTCTTCCCACTGTTTACTTGGATTACCCTGCTGTGTGCCTCCCACTCTTCCTTTCACTTTGCAAGCCTGCAATGAGACAAGCGGCCCATGAGTTAATTAAACGACATCTTTGCTTGTAAAAGGAGATCGAAGACATTATGCATGAGAACACAGCAAAGCCCAGGACTTGGAAATAGTATTCTATATCATTAACATTCATCTGAGGCGCATCCTCATTCCATTTTAATGCTCTGCGTGTAGAGATTTGACGAAGGGAGAGCAGCCAAGTAGTCAGCTTTGGCAGAGTCACGTGGGCTTGGCCTGCAGAGACAGACATATGATGTGTGCTAATATTGCTGTATGTATTCTGCTCCATCACTATTGGGAGGCCTCTATATAGAGAGCAAGTAGGCTAGTGCATACGGCTTCAGAGAAGCAAAATATCTGGTCTGCTTTTCAACATCTGTCTTCCCGATCCTGGTGCTCTCCAGATGTTGCTGGACTACAAGTCTCAACATTCCTGACAATGGGCTGGCTGGGGCTGACAGAAGATGGAGTCTATCAACATCTGGTAGGCATCAGCAGTGGGGGTTTTTCTAGATCAAAAGGTGCTGAAACGCACCTCCCTCAGAAGACCCACTCCAGAGCCCAAAGAGGATATTTGGGGGGAGGGGAGGGGGGTCTCCTCAGCTGAGGTGATGGTGGTTTTCTGCACCTTGGCTGAGCAGCTTAATGAGCTCCTCTCCCCCTGCCTTAGCATGGGGGCTTGGTCAGCTGAGGTGCGGCTTTCCCACATGTCAGCTGTTAGCTGGGAGGCTGAAGGGCCTCAGCAAAGACCTGCTGCATCTCCAGCTCGACTGTGCCTCTCTGGAGCCCATAGAGGATGTCCATTGGGCTCTGGGGAGGGTTGTCCTTGTGAGCTGGAGGCATAGTGGGGCTTTGCTGAGGCTGATCAGGTCCCCCCCACACACTTCCAGGGCCCAGCTGATCAAAAGAGACTACGAGGCTCTGGGCAGGAAATTGAAGCAATTAAATGCACAAATTGTCATCTCATCTGTCCTCCCAGTTGAACGACGTGGCCCAGGGAGAGAGGGAAAAATAGTGGAAGTGAACAGCTGGCTTCGCAAATGGTGTAAACAGGAACGGTTTGGATTCGTAGATCACGGACTGCAGTTTCTTGAAAATGGACTTCTGGCAAGCGATGGGCTGCACCTCACAACGGTTGGGAGGAATGTTTTTGCCAAAAATCTCAGAAACCTCATCAGGAGGGCTTTAAACTGACTAATGTGGGGGAGGGAGACAGTGCTCCTGAAGGTAGGAGTCTATCAATTGATGAAGATGATCATCCAAATGTCATAGACCAAATGGAACAAAGAGCACGCAGACCTAGTGGTGGGAGGAAAAAATCCTTAAATAAGAGACACGGGGGAATGATTAATGGACTTCAATGTCTGTACACTAATGCGCAAAGCATGGGAAATAAACAAGATGAGCTTGAGCTCTTGGTGCAGCAAACTAAATATGACATAATAGGCATCACTGAAACCTGGTGGGATAAGTCCCACGATTGGAATGTAACAATGGAGGGATACAATCTATTTCAGAGAAACAGACCAGACAAGAAAGGAGGAGGAGTGGCGTTATATGTCAGGGATGTGTATACCTGTGAAGAGATCCAAGATTTAGAACCTCAAAGCCAAAGTGAGAGCATTTGGGTCAAAATTAAGGGAGAGAAGAATAACAGTGACCTCATTGTGGGAGTTTACTATAGATCCCCAAGCCAAACGGAGGACATAGATGATGCCTTCCTGGAACAGATGGCCAAGCATGCAAAAGGAAGGGAGATAGTAGTAATGGGGACTTCAATTACCCGGATATTTGTTGGATGTCAAACTCAGCCAAGAGCATAAGGTCAAACAGATTCCTCACTGGCCTTGCAGACAACTTCATTGTCCAGAAAGTGGGAGAAGCAACAAGAGGAACAGCCATTTTAGATCTGGTCCTAACCAGTGTTGATGACCTGGTTAGTGGGGTAGAAGTGGAAGGATCATTAGGCGCGAGTGATCATGCTCTTCTGAAGTTTACTATACAGCAGAAAGGAGCAGCCAAGCATACTAGGACTCAATTTCTTGACTTTAAGAAAGCCGACTTCATAAAACTTAGGGAAGTGCTGGGTGAGATCCCATGGACAGTAATACTAAAAGGAAAGGGAGTTCATGATGGCTGGGAGTTTGTTAAGAGGGAGATAGTAAAAGCACAACTTCAGGCAATACCAATGAGACAGAAACATGGAAGGTGCCTAAAGAAGCCAGGGTGGCTATCTAAAGAACTTTTAACTGAGTTAATAGACCTCTCCTCCTGCTGTTGCTCCATCATCACCATCAATACATCTAATGCCCCTCTTTAAAGACATCCTAAGTCGTCACATTCTCCCCCCCCCAAATTTTTTTTTTGATTTTCAAAAAATTAAAAACACACTAACAAATAAACAGAGAAACATAAATCATAACCTTATTGAAACTAATCTTCTTAACATTGTTAAGTGACTTCCTCATATCCCCCTAGTTGAATTTCAGTGCATATCATTTTAACGGTTTTCCAAATCAAGATTCTTATAATCTTAACTTAATCACTTAACACCACTCTTTCTTCCCAATTCAGCATTAAACATAATAATTCATCACATTACTTATTTAAATCCTAAGCCTAACTGGTAATTGCAAGCTTTTTCCAATTAATTTAACTTAACGTATTTAACTAAATAGTCATTAAATTTCGTCCATTCTTCCTGATACTCCTCTTCATTCTGGTCGTGGACTCTTCCGGTCAGGTCGGCTAGCTCCAAAAAGTCCATCATCTTCATCTGCCATTCTTCCACAGTTGGTAGTTCTTGCGTTTTCCACTTCTTAGCTAGTAAGATTTGAGCAGCAGTTGTGGCATACAAAAATAATTTAACATCTTTCTTTGGCAATTCCAAACCTGTTATTCCAAGAAGAAAGGCCTGTGGTTTCTTTATAAATGCATATTTCAACATTTTTTTCAATTCATTATAAATCTTTTCCCAGAAGTCTTTGGGCAGGTCTACCACATGTGATAAAAAGTTCCTTCTTTTTCTTTACATTTCCAACATAGGTTATGATAAATCTTTGCTAGTTTAACAGGAGTCAAATACCATCTATACATCATTTTCATCATATTTTCCTTTAACATTGTACATGCAGTGAACTTGACCCCTCTCTTCCACAATCTTTCCCAATCTTCAAACATTATGTTATGTCCTACATCTCTTGCCCAATCTATCATCACTAATTTAACTTGTTTATCCTTTTTATGCCACTCAAAAAGTAACATACATTTTAGACAGATTGTTAACTTTAGTGTCCACCAACTCCATCTCCATCTTAAATTTTTCAGAGGCAAAACTGTTTTTCTTATCTAATTTGTACAGTTCATTAATCTGGTGATAATGTAACCAATTTAACTTATCTTTAACTTGATCAAATGGTTTTAGCTTATAACCTTCTTTATCCTCCAGTAACAAATCTGAATATCTCAACCATTTGATATCCATATTTAACTTTTTCTGGGCCTTCGCCTCCATTGGTGAAAGCCATCTGGGCATCTTCCTTTTTCCCCCCCAAATAATTTTTATTAAATTTCCTTTTAACAAACCAATCATATCATATCATATTAATTATTCCAAATTATGCCAATACATATCACAAAATCCAAATATTTAACCGAAT